GGTGCATGGGAATTGTACCAAATGTGGATATTAAAGCCTGTATTTGTGCATTGTATTTATGGTCAATTCGGCTTTGTATTAAAAACATTAAAATATTCGATTTTATTTCATTTCCTCAATCTTTAAACCTGTGTTCATATATCCTTTCCTGAAGGCAGCTAATTGAAAACAAACATTTACTTTGACTGACAGAACTGAAAGTGACCACCTTTTTTTACGTGCATCCTCTCTTTTGAAGGCTGCACTACTCGTCTATATTGGGCTCTGCTGAGCTTTTTAAAGATGGAGTGTGAACAGCACATCTTATCTGAAGGCACTGTCCTCTGTTTGGTAGGGGCTACATAAAGAACAGCTGAATCATTTAGCTACAGACACTCATACCTACAGAATGAGTGTTGGAGTTAATAACAAACAGCGTGAGCCAATTTCTGTCACTCATGCACATGCAAACATTCATAAGTGTGCGCTCTTATATCTACCGTACACACACACACACATCCTGAATAACGCCTGAACCACCTCCATCACAAGAAAAACAATTATCTACATATCTGAATCTGCTTTGAGTTACGTACGAAAACCACAGAATTCACCTGGGGACAAGATGGGGTGCAGAACATTGATGAGGACGACGCCATGAAAGATATTAACTTTCATTAAAAAAAAACCTATTCTTATCCCTGGAGATGAATGCGAGCCTGACAGAGAGAGAGAGCAAAAGTGAGAGGAGAAAACAAGAACAAGAAAGGGAAGCGCAAAGTGGAAAAAAGGTTGAGAGGGACGGAAAGAAACAGCAAACAGGAAGGAAAAAGAAAGAGATGGAAGAAAAAAACGCTCGCTGTCAGACTTTGGAAACAGTGATTCATGGGGACCATTTGTCCTAATTACAGCAGAACAACGCTTTTGTCGCTATTAATCACACGGGTGTGTGTTTGTATTTGTGTCAGGGGAGGAGTGAGTGTGCGTGTGCGAGTGTGTGTGTGTGTAGAGGGGAGATCAGTGGCCTCGCAGATTGAAATAGATGGCCAGGATGATGGTGAGAAGGATGATGGCTCCGAGCATGAAGACCAGGACACGGTTCTGGATGATCCTGCAGAGAGAGAAAGAGAGAGAGAGAGAAACAGAGTTAGAGATCAGGCGGGGTTCACTAAAGTCATGTTGTGTCTACTGAGATCAACGTAAAACAGTCACATGTTTATGTGCTAACTAAATGACTAGCCATCAACTGGAGGCTTATCATGTTTAATAGCTACCATGAGGTCTGCGTACATGGTATTTACTGGTATACAATCACTGGGATGGGGGTGTAAAACACACACACACGCAATATTTCTAAAGCTGCAACACTTTTGTGCAAAGCTTGTGTCTTGACAGATGATTTCTGACTGGCAAACACACTTGGAGCCGCTATTAAAATCTCATACAGAAGTGTACACACTCAAACACACAAAAAAGAGCAAAACACTTAACAAGCCCAACACACTAACACACGTACGCACACAAAGGCTCTAAAACTTTATTTGCACAATAAAGTGGAAAAAGTGGCTCAGAAGGTCTCCTGGAGGTAATAAAATCACTGAATTACTGATGGAATTTGCCATAAAACGACTCACTATTTTGCACATTTAAATGTTCCCACTGTGACCTAAGTAAACTTGACAAGAGGGGGCTTTGAATACAAAAAAACACACAAAGCTGGGAGAGAGGGAGTGGGTGCTGGTGTGCAGAGGCCTGAGCATGAAGAGTGCGAGCTTATCTCATGTGCGCGTTCCCAAAATTCTCCAGAGTTTGCATCACCACACATGCCGCGACAAACACACACACACACTGCAAACACACACACAAACACACACACACTGCAAACCCTCCGCTGCTCCTGACAAATGAGAGAATTATCACATTTGCTGACATGTGGAGGGGTGGAGGAGAGGCCGAGGAGGGGGGCACTGTCCACTTCTCTAAGCAGGAGATGAATAGCCCATGCTGTGGCCATTTATCACCGGGGAGGGGGGGCCGGCTGGTTGCTCAGTCACCCTGCTACCCTCTAAAGCCCGACACACCAGTGGAGCTCACACCTCCTCCAGGCCACCGGCTCCGACCCGCAGTAGCCTCCACACTCAGTTTAAAACCCATCGCTATGGAAGAAAGGACGACAAAAATGTATCACAGTTGTGTTTTTAAGCGTACGCCTTTGTATTCCCCTTGTGTATGTTTTTTTTTTTTTTTTAAACAGAGAAGTGTCTGCTTTGCTCAATTCCTTTGCACAAAGGACTCTGGAGCCAAATACAAAAATCCTGAAAACCAATCGTTTGTAAAAAAAAAAACGTCTTTCATGAACGAGACACTTTTTCAGTAGATCCCTCACTGGATAACACCAGAGAGCTCATTACAACCACTGTTTGTAACTAGCACTGCTTTATAAGTAGCTAGTTTACCCTTGAATAAATGCATACATTATCATACAGTGTCATACTGTACACTAATCCATGTCTACACGAGTAGCAGTTATGGTATATGTTCTTATCCTCACTAACACCATGCTGAGTTTTCACCCTAAACAAAAACAAGAACAAAATACTAAAAATAAATCCAACTGCATGTACATGTTTATGTTGTGGTAAGAGTTGAAGCAGTATTAAGGGATGCTATGATGAGACGGAGATGATTGGCTGGAGCCAGCTGGGGAGGAGACCCCTCTGAAACACTAATCAGAGCATGCTTAGCAAGGCCACGTCTCCCCCTATTAATTGACATTCATTATTTACAATGATTATTTATCCCAGCCAAATACCCAGAGGAGGTTCTCGTGTGTGTGAGCGTGTCGGGAGAATCCAGATCGCTTTGTGTTGTTTGTTAATTTTTCAGCTGGGGAGAAGAGAGGGAGGGTGACTCGAGGCCTAGCGGGGGGGGGCGGGGGGTAAAATGAACAGGAAGTTAGTTTTAGACTCAAGGAAGAAGAGCCCGGGTGCTGAAAGATAGAGAGGGGAAGGGGGGTTCAATGCTGTAAAAATTGCATTCATTAAAAGGAGACTGATCTGGTGGCAAACAACGCTGAATAACTTCAAACACTAAAGCGTTCAAAGCCGTAAGGAATGTGACAGTGCTGAGATTTAAGAACTTTTCTCAAGGGACAGATATTGGAAAAAATGGTTACTTTGACCTAAACTGATTCTCTGTACACCAATCTAACAAAAAAAGTACAATTTAAAAGGAGCTACTCTTATTAACAGGAAACTCAAAGCCACAACTACAACTTTCAAGCATGCCTTTCACACTCAAGCTGTGTGTTTTAATCCACTGTAACAGGGTATATGCAGGAATCCTGAAGTCAAAGGTAATGCCTTTTAAGACCACTTTGAGTTTTAACCGGTTACATTGGCAACACACTTTACCTCACATTACCTATATACAGTATTGATTGTCCTTCCTCCTTATCTTCCAACCATTTGGACGCAAACTTGCATTTCCCCATAACCATGTTGTTTAACAACCGGCGTAAACGGACCTCCGAGCGCTATCAAGCCATGAGCGTGCGATGTCCTGTTCATATGACGTCAAATCCAACGGGATGCCATAAATAAACTACACAGAATCACACTACACACCTACGCAATGATTACATTCAGGCAGACTGTAGAATACAACCTCTTTGGACAATTCATATACTTATTGAAAACAAGCTACAAAATGTAATACCTTGGAAAATGCCGTTTAATACTTTTTAATAGCCTTAATTTTCGCTAAATTGATTTATCAACTTTTAATACTTTTTAAGAGCCCGTGGACACCCTGTGTAAGCAACAAAGCTTGAATAACACACACACACACACACACACACACACACACACACACACACACACACACACACACACACACACACACACACACACACAGATATAAAGGTATAGGATATTGATGTCATCACTCTGCTTTAAATACCATACAGGTGAGAGGGCTGGACAGTCACGACTTATGTTACATTATAGCCTGGATAGGAAAATATTCCATTTCAAAAACCATCACACAAAGCATCGTTCTTGTTGTAAAATTAAAAAAGATTACAAGTAACAAAGTTATTTTGCTCGTCGTGCATTTCATATTTTTTCCATTTGGTCACACACAACAACTGGTGTCTATACAAAGAAAGGAAAATCCCAGCGGGCAGATCATCTTCATAATCCTCAGGGCGATTCATCTGCATGCTGTCACTTGTAGATGTAATCTATGGATTTAGGTTCTTTATCCAGCAAGGCACTTTACTATGAGCTCACCAGTCAAATGAGCTTCTACAGTGAAGGAAAGGTTGGTTCCTCGGGCAACAGAAGCATCTAGAATAAAACTTAGCCCACAAAAAAAAACTGCACCCCTGCCAAACCCCCTGAAAAGGAAATAAAAAAATCCCAAAAATGGGGAGGTAGGAGAGTGAAGAACATGGTTTTCCTCTGCCGTATGGTTGATCCCATCCTGACACGTGGCCAGACAGAACAGAACTTATCAAACCGGATCCATCCTCCAGCTTTGACACTTGACATAGAGGTGGGGGGCGAGGGGTGTGTGTGTGTGTGTTGGGAGGGGAAGGTTTGGGGATGTGTGAGTGATGCACTCAGCGCATGTACAAGGCTGACACACACATATACACACTGACGCACACCAAGTTTGAGAAGGCTTACCTTTACCCCGCTCCCTACTATGGTACTTAGATCCCCAAGTATTCTCTCTGTCCCTGCCCCCCCCCACCTAGAAAACACCACTCATATAGAGACAGACCAACAGTAGATGTGACTTAGAGATCAGCCAATAACAGCACATGATACTGGTCGTTCTATTGGCTCATGACGTTCCTTCATCGCAGGCTGCCAGTCAGCCTACACCTTACTAAGACGTAAATACACAGATATATATAACTGAGAGAGAGAGAGAGAGAGAGAGTCGAAATGATATGAGTGCAAAGGAGAGCAAAAAAGTAAAGCAAGCAGGAAGGATGGAAATGGACAATAAAGCAGCTGAGAGTGAAAAACAAGAGAAAAAAGGAGTGGAGAGACAGAAATAGAGAGGTGGAGTGAGAAAAAGACAGTAAGGGGGGAGAGAGAGAGAGAGAGAAAGAGAGAGAGAGAGAGAGAGAGAGAGAGAGGGAGAGAGAGGTCCGTTTACCCGGGAAGGCAGAGCTGGAGGAGAGGCTCCTCGGAGACAGATGAAAATAATGAGGACTTTTCTGTCAGGAAAGATTTACAAAATCGTACCAGTGTTATTAAAATTTAAAATCTCCCGGTTTTTTTCCCCCTTTTTCTCCCTTCCCACCCTCTTCCTCCCTCCCTCTCTTCCTTTCCCTGTTTTTTTCACCCCTCCTCTTCCAGCAGCACAGCCTTATTACCAGCTCTAATGAGCACAGGGATACACCTCAGCTGTGTGTGTGTGTGTGTGTGTGTGTGTGTGTGTATGTGTGTTGGGGTCCAGGTCCCTAGCTGCATACGCGCCCCAGACTCTCCAGTCCCTTAAATGACACACACATTGTGTGCTCCAATCACAACACATGATCGTGGGCACATAGATAGATGCTGACAATGCGCGCACACACACACACACACACACACACACACACACACACACACACACACACACACACACACACACACACACACACACACCATCTCCACTAAGAAGAAACTTAGCTGTGGAGTTGCATCTCTGCGGCCCTCCCCTATCCCTCCTCTTTCCTCGAGTAGACCAATAAAATAAAAATCAATGGCTGTCTGAGCCATTCTGACTCTCCTCCCTCCAAAACCCTGGGAATATGCAGCATGGGAGAGGAGAGGGGGAGAAAGGGAGAGGAGGGAGGGAAGGATCAATGTGTTCACAAATGGTTTGAGTGATGGACATGGAGGTGGAACGCTGGTGGGGGTAAGTCCTAACTAATGCATCGACCTGTTATCGCAAACTAATACAAATAAATGTTTCATCGTAAAAGTGCTCGTGCTCACACACACACACACACACACACACACACACACACACACACACACACACACACACACACACACACACACACACACACACACACACACACACACACACACACGTATAAGTCTTGGAATCACACACACCTGCCAAATGACAAAACATAAGGTGGTAATGGGCCTGCCTTCAATCCAGGTGAGTGAGGAAAGGTGAGAAACGTGCAACGATTTGATCAAGTGAATGAAGCGAGGACGAATAAGGCAGAACGATCCAGAACGATCCAGAACGATCAAATTGAGTTCATGTTGCTCTGCAGATAAAAATGACTTGACCTGTTTGTTGGAGGGATCTGATCTCGCCTCGTTTGTTTTGCTTATTGTCCCCAAGGGGTGTTCAAGATAAATGATGATTTTCAGAAACACACACACAGGCACACACACAAACACAGCTGGAGTGGGTCTTTAATTAAGAGCTGTTTGGTGTAATTATTCAGAGCCCCAAACATCATGTAATTCCCTAAAGACAAACAATGTTTAAGAATGTGCCCACACCTTAACAGTCGCACGCTCCCACTGTAAAGATCTGTAGTCTGTTAGCAACCATGAACAATGATGTAACACTGTATATATAAATATATCATAACCCCAGTTTTCCTTTGTGTTATTTATTTTTGTAAAAAGCAGCAATTGATTGACAGAGTATTTCTTGTTTTTTGATATTTTCTTTTCCTGGGAATGGGTTTGTTTGTGTCGGGAATGTTTGTAAAGTAAAACAATTATTATATTTGAATTGCTGATTTGCAAACTGCAACAAACAATTAATCAAATGTTATGTTTCACCCAATGAAAGAAACCCAGAGATAGGCCGTTTAAAATAGTATGAAATATATATATTTTTTTTTATTAAAACCATTCAATTATGTATATGAATAAACCCATTATGAATTTTGTGATTGAACACATTTTTAAATTGAAATGTATATATTTTATTATCTAGAAATACAACTAGTTTTTCAAAAATGTTTTGTAGAAACCATTTGATCCCGTAAAAAAAAAAGACAGACCTGTATTGACAAAACTATTTTTCACAACTGAGAAAAGTGATATAAAAGATAGACAGGTTTTGATTTGGAGTACGTGGTCTGAGCTCAGGATTTCAATTCAGCCCACTGAATCTCTCCCACTTTATTCCCCCTTTTTCTACCAACTGGATGCAGGAGAACAGCACCAGGGCTCTACAAGTTCATCCATTTTTTATTTGGCGGCTAACAACCCTGGCCAGCAGCAGCAGCAGCTTAGACTGGGACCCAGCTCTCTCCCTGAAAAGTGTTGCAAGGAGAAAAAGAGAGTGAAAGCAGAACAGAACGAGAGGAGAGATGGAGATAGGGATGTAAAAAGATGGAGGAAATGCAGCGTGGGAGGAGAGTGTGTATATGCAGGAGTATGTGAGACATGAAAAAGCGGTGAAAAAAAATGGAGATAGAGAAGAGGAGATGGAGAGGGAAACGGAAAAGAAACAGAGTGGGTGAAGGAGAAAGAGAAATCGAGAACACATTGCAACTGTGTTTGGAATTTTTATGAACTTTTTTCGCCGGCAGCAATTTCTGTGCCTGCTGCAGCTTCTCCTCATCCCGGTGTGATGTACAGGTGGCTTTCTGAGCTCCATACACAGATCATTCCCCTACCTGCTTACCTGCCTGAACCCTCGCTCGCCCCCCCCCATCTATCTCCATCCTCATCTTTGTCCTCCTTTCGTCCCTTTTTCCTCAGGCATTCATTGCTTATTTTCCACTCACATTTTCTATCTTTTCTCATTGTCTGGCTCTACTTTTCTTGCTCTTGCTCGAGGGGTGGTGATAGGATTTGTTTTTACAATGTTTACCTTATGTGCTTGTCACGTCACTGGTTTATAGTCTGCAGGAGCATGTCAGCAGCCCATATTTACTGTATGAACCTAGGCTGACCACAACCTTATTCAAGACTTCTGTAATCACATCAGATCCTGTGTACTCACTATTAAAGGTTTAATTGCTAAGGAGCTCAGTGAGGACATAATTAAAATTAAAATGTTTTGACTAAGAAGGATTAATAGGGTAATAGTCACGAGCTGGTTGTCACCACAGTATGGTAACAAACGTGGGTAAAAAAACACAAAGGAAAACATATGGCTGTTACATTTCGGTAAACTGGTTGAATATGGAACAAATAGCTAACAATAATGGTTGCCTTGGATATCTTTGCAGTTTTTAAAATTGTAGTCATGTTAGAGTAAATATAAAATGACTCAGTACGTAAACAATTGCAAACAAGAAACAGGAGTGTTGTTAGTCAAACAATAGTGGGACGAAGTTTCCTCCGTCATGGTCAAGTTTGCCTGAATGGAAAGAAAATCCAGATCCATTACTTGTTTGAAAAAAACATTTGTTCTCAGTGTTTGCTTTGTTTTCTCACAGCATGTCTGGATTGTAATTATGAAAATCATAAGCGTTGCCTTCTTCATTCAACTATAACTTGACATGTGGTTGTTATAATATGTAGATGAAATATTCCTGCACCCCTGATAGCATTCCTCACCATTTATCCTCTCTGCTAGGAAGTCCCTAAACACAAAATCCCCCTTGTATACATTCTGCGAGGCTTCCAGGGCCAGCTGCAGATCCGATTACTGGCCCCAGTGAAAGAGGGCGTAACATAAGCCATTAGAGCTGCAGGACTCCAAAACTATGATGTCCATAAATTCTTATTGTTTGTTCAGGACTGAGATCTCATTAAAACACATAAATCATTTGTTCACACTGCTGCTCACTTTCAGTAAAGGAATTGAGGAAGAATGAAAGACAGGAGAAGTAGAGCTGGGACGCGTAGGGAGAACACCTGAGGCAATGGTTAATGGCATGTGCATGCTTTGTTACTGGAACAACATAGTGACGCAGGTTGGGAGGAGAGAGACTGCTTATGCATCACGCAGTGTTTTCTTAATCTAATTAGTGCACACCTTTTTTCTCCACATAACTTTTCAAAGTCAGTGTTTTTGTTGTTGTTTCTTTTACGTAAAGATACTTAGATGTTTTTCAGTTTGAGCCGGAGAAGCAAGGACTAAAATATCAACATTCTGACACCTAACACCAACTCTATTGTTGTGAAATTTGACCTGACTTCTTCAAAGATACTGATGAAATGCTTGGACTCGCCATGTACAATTTGTCATGACACAAAATACTGGTAAAAAAAGGGTTTTGGGGTGTTTTTCCTGAATTTAAAGAAGTGGTAATTGGGAGAAGACAGAACATCCATTTCCTTATCCTGCCGTGGTTCCCATAGTTATAGACAAGTAGGAATCAAAGCACATATCTTCACAAGGACTTGTCACAACAGTTTCATTTTTTTCATTTTCATTTTACTGGTTTCCACTCAAAACAAAACCATTCATCAGATAAATGCTTTAAACTCTTTGGGCCTAAAGAGACGTCTGTTTAGGATTCCACGACAAAGAAGCCATGAGGATATTAGTGTTTATGTCTGAGTCTTTTTATTAACTGGTCAGGGAAGCTCTTCTGCGTGGTGTTTGTTTGCCATTTTAAATCAACTCTCCAAATATTTGCTTCAAGTCCTGTGTGGTTTAGGCTCTGCATCCTGTGTGTCTCCATTTACCCATGATGTTGCAATATTGCCCACCAGCATGCACAAAAACATGTACACACACTAAACATACAAGTACACACACACACACCCACACAATCTGAACCTTTTCCTATACAAATGTACAAAAGGCTTACACTGGCCAAGTCAAACCATGTACTGCCTGTAAACATTCCTACACATGTAAGTACAAACAAACTAAAACACTTTCTATAACAAAGTTTGTTCACATCACTGGTCCTTCTCGAATGTAGTGGTTTACAGATTTCTCAGAAGACTGAAAGACTGCTGTATACATTGTAAGATGTTCTTTATCATGTGTCAATCTCTTCGATGAAGAAGAAACATCTCCTCATTTCCTTTCTATCTTCTGTGCTAATTATCTGAATTAAATCATTCTGATGCATTTGACAGAAT